AAAATCTTTAAAAAAAAAAAAAGAGCAATTTCAGTGGGATGGTAGAGGTGGAATGCTGACAGGAGTAGGTTGAAAAGAAAGTCTGATGTGATGGAGGGGAGATGAAAACTAAGATAACTCAGGAAGATTTACTGCAAAGGGGAGCATAGAAGTAGGGAAGTAGCTGGAAGAGAATAGGGGGTTGAGGGAGGTCTTTGTTTTTATTTTATTTTTTAAATGAGAGATGTGTTGATGTGATAATCTTCTGGAAAAGGAGAAATTGAAGGTGGAGAAGAGAAGGGATACATGAAAACAAAAAAGAGGTGAGATCCAGGTCACCACTGGAGGGCGGGCCTTAGAAGTAGATTCATGTGGGGCCGGCCGAGTGGCTCAGTTGGTTAAGAGCTCGCTCAAGAGTTTGAGCTCTGAGCAACAGCGGTTCGAGGCCCGGCCCGAGCTGAGCAGCTGCTGAGCTGCCAACAGGTAGCGGGATGGCTCAGCTAAAAAAAAAAAAAAAAAGTAGATTCATGTGGTAAAGATGCAGGTAAGTTGGTAGATGTGATAGTGGGACTACGAAGGCAATCTGGTCTGACAGCTTCATGGACCTGGAGCCATGATGACTGATATGTGACCAATGGAAAGATTATCAGGAAGAAATGGGAGGTGGAAATATGACCAACGCAGTCATGACTTCAAGCCCAAGTTGCAGTGTTTTGCCTAGTGTGACAGACTGTTGGGTGTCTTCTGTCTTTTGGGGGGCCTGGGGTTAAGGCACAAGGTTTAGGAGGAAGCTAATAGAGGATACAAGAAGACACCATCCCAGAAATGGTGACAACTTCTGTGAATTGTCATGATTTCAATTTAGAATATAAATAACGTTTGGACAGGAACTATATCTCATTCATCACTGTAGCCCTACATCTATTAACTAATTTTAAGCAAATACTTTGGGCTAGGCCTGTGCTAGCCTCTAGAAACACAGATGAATAAGGCATGGCCCCAGCCTACTAAGTATTTGAGAAACATTTTCTAAACTAATTTAATTATGTATGAAGTAAAGAATTTTGCCTTGACCAAAGAGAGATTTGGCTGTTGGCCCCACTCCTGAAAGATAATCTATAAACTCTTGGAATTTCCTGAGTGATAGGAGTGTCTTTGTTATTCGGGGTGGGGGGGTGGGGCCCTCAGACTATATCTGATAGTGTATGATGAGGTGACTCATGTGGGCCCCTTAGGACACATGGTGCTAGCCTGACCTCCAGAAACAGGGGAGACTGAATTCAACCAGGTTCAATAAATCAATGAAATAAAACCCAAATAAAAACCCTGAACACTGAAGCCCAGGTGAGCTTCCCTGCCTGGTTGGCAACACATCCTGTGTATTGTCACATATGGATACCAGGAGGGTAATACATCCTAAAAACAGAATCTTTGTGTTTGGAATCCTCCCAGACTCTGCTCTATGCACCTTCCTTTGGCTTATTTTTGACTTGTATCCTTTCCCGTAAGGAAAGAGATATCCTTTTCACAGGTATCCTTATCCTATACCTGTGAGTACAATAGTATTCAGTAAGTTCTATGAGTCCTTCCTGACAGTGGCTTTGGGAACTCTGAACTTTCTGTTGGTATCAGGAGTGTGACAGTCTTGTGGACTGCTCCTTCAGACTTGGCAGTTGGGGTGACTCCAGGTTTCATGTGACCTTAGAATTCAAAGGGATCTAGGTATCATGTAATTCAGCTCTAGTCTATAGATAAGGAAAGAAAGGTCTAGAGATGGGAAGTGACTTGCATAATGTTATGTAATGTTATGGCAGAAAAGGACTAGCCCCTGTGCTTTCTACAATATTCTGTTGTAGCTTCAACTGTGAGGCTGAGCAGAGAAAAACTTACCCTTGAGCCAGACTGGCTTTGCTACAAGGGATTTTTACAAGAGCCCCTATGTTTAGGGAAGCTCATTCTTTATTATGTTTCCTGCCTTGACTCTGATAGATTTCTCTTTAAAATATTTAAGCTGCAATATTTAATATTTACAAAATAAGGGGCTTGTACCAAAGAAGAGCTAATGCTTTCTATGAGGTGGAAACAATTTTGTGTGAATTCTCTCTGTTACTGAACTTTTATGCTTCAGAGATCCTTTTCATATAATCTAAATTTTACTGCTGGAAGAGATCTTAGTAATTTTTTGGTTCAAAGATGCTGAGGCACAGAAATAGAAAGAGATCTACCCAAGGTCACCTGGTGATTCAGTGGCAAAGACAAGGCTAAACTCGGATCTCCCGAATCTCAGGGTAGCCTTCATTCTAGTTCAGAATGACTTCCCAGTAGGAGGCCGAGAGTGTTGCACTCATTTACAAAAGTACTTAAGGGACCCTCACAGAATCCCAGAGCAGCCCATATTTGTTTATCTTGTCTGGACAGTCAGGCTCTCTTACTCTGTCATAAATTTTTTAAGCAGCTACCAGATGTTCTCTGTATTTCTCAGGGTTGAAGGGAAGGAGAGGACTACTGTCACTCTGCTTCTAGAGCAGGAATGAGCAATAATCGGCCAGTCCCATCACTGAAAGAGACAGTGTGGGCTAAAAGGCAAGACTAGGGTCCAAATATTTTGATTCCGTCAGATTTACAAAATCATAAAATCTACCCCAGGCCTGTTACTTTTTTAATCAGGAAAATTTTTTTATCACCTCTAGTTAAGTACAATATTTAAATAATGGGCTTATATCTATAACAAGCTTTGTTCTCCTAATTACCTAGTGTAGTTCTCTAGTGACTAACATTCCTGAAGAATCCAGGCACAGACTCCTGCACTTGGTCAGAGGTCTGACACAGCATGAGCTATAGAAGGTGTGAAACACCCATGAGAGCTAATAATACATGATAACATCCTGCCACATGGGACTACTTTCAAACTGGATACCAAAAGACAGTCAGAATCGACATCTATTAGCCCAGAAGCTCCTATTTATCCAGCATCGATAAGGATGGAAGTATTCTACCCAACGAAATTTTTAGAGCTCAAAATATCCCCTAAAACTCATGTCTTGTTAGGGAGACCACTTCATAGTCGGTGTAGAGGCCTGACCACCACACTGTATTTCTGAAGCTGATGTTGAATAATAATATATGTCAACTATAATTATATATACATATAGTCATGGGACGTGGAATAGAGAGTGGGAATGGAGTCAATGGAATTGTAATAGATAAGCATGATAACCGGGGGTGGGAGGGCAGTAGATGAGAGAGGGGGTTTGTTTCTGTGTGAAGGGTAAAAAGGATAACTATTGCATTGTTCTGTATACCTGAAACTAACAATAAAAAAAAAAAAGAAAAGAAAAAAAAATATCGCCTAAAATATCATCTTATCAATATTTAGATATCATCTCATATTGTAGGTGGGAAAACTCAGATCCAGAGAGGGAACTGACTTACCAATATCATACTGTTTTATTTCAGTCATTTCTACAGAACTATTTCTTATATTTCTGGCTTTCTTAAACAGAATATGAGTACTGACTAAAATGTAACCCTTTCTAGATGGTTCAAGTCCATTATTATAAATATCAACTATGCTTCTATACTACAATTCTGTGATATTCAAATGATGAGAAGACGAATGTGGGGTAACTTGCTTCTATACTAAAATAATCCAGACTATTTTATACTGATTTTTCCTCTCCTTTTCTCCCTTCTTACTGAAAGATTGTGAGATCCAGTTACTTGGCTCCTGATTGCAGTATAATCCCAGTGAGGCATTGATCTTTAGAAAAAGGAGTGATGATCTCAAAGCGTAAGCTTTTAGGGAACCTAAGCCCAGAGGGTGCTTGCTTACATAATAACAATGGTAACCTTTATTGAGTGCTTATGAGGTACTGTGTCATATTTTAGTTTTTTTTACTTCATTTGATTCTCATAACAACCCTAGGAGATAGGTGCTGTTGTTCAGATCTCTCCTGAGCCATAGATAAAATCCTTGTCCAAGGTCACAAAACCAATAAATGGAGGGTCTAGGATTCAAACTTGGGTAATTCTTGCTTCAAAGTCCATAATCTGAGTCACTATTCTATTCTACCTCCCTAACTGTTTGAAGTAGGATTTTGAAAGAAAGATTTCTAAAAGATTTTCATTTACAAGTGATAAAAAGCGAACCCTGAGAAGGATAGTAACTTGCCCTCAAAGTCACACAGCTAGGGAAAGAGCTCGAGTAGGACTCAGTTCTTGGATTGAGAGTTCTTACCACTTCATTATACAAAAGTTCAATGGACAGAGAGTTTGAGGATATTTTTGAAAAATGACATATCTTCCCAGATGTGACTAAAGACTCTGGGGGCTCAGGGTCCTTGCCTTTGTCCCATTCTAGAGCCACAGGGCCTGAGGTTCCCTAAAAACTTCCATGTAGATTTCCCACTAGACGTGCAGCTGGGATACTGTCACTATGAATGTGACTGGCCATGAGTCACATGTCACAGTCAACTGGACACCTGCCTCCTCTCCCTTAGGTAGGAAAGCAGATTTCTGATTTGAATTTTACCTCATGACTCTCTCCCAGAATGAGGGACCTGACTCTCCCATCTCTCCAGACCAGCAGGTTTCTCAGGAACACCCTTCTTTCTCTACACATGAGTCAGACTCCTCATAGACAGTTAAGAGGCCTGACCCAGCCCTTCCTCAGAGACCTCCCAGTTTAAAACTGGGAGCATCCCAAGTCCCAAGGGAAACTGGCTTTGGTTCCCTGAAGACTTCAACTTCAGAGGGAAGAGATCCAGTACTCCATCTCTGGACAGTTCTATTGCTGATACTGCAGATTGCTAATGAGAAGGCTCCTATAAGGGGGTGGTGGGAGATAATCAGGCCTCTAGAGGGAAGGAAAGAAAGGAAAGGAAGAGGAAGAAGACTCCATATATCCCATCCAGGCCTATTGTAGGTATTGGGCCTCTGTTCCATCCTAGAGCCACCACAATCCAGAGCAGTGGGCTTGGAAATGGTTCTTGGCTCTCCTGTATCTCTTCCCAGGTGCTTACCTGTGGCTGCTGGGTGGTTAAGGGTCTCTGAGGAGACAGGGCAGGGGTCCTGCACAGCAGCTGGTTCATCTTGCTGATGACAAGTTCAGTGATGAGTTGTTTGTCTTCCACCTGGTGTTCCCCAATCAGTGGCATACTGCAGTCCATGACCTGGAGGAAGACATGACCTAGGTTAGGGAGGGAATGGAGGCATGAAAGGCCTGGTATGGTCTTTCAGAATGAGTAGGACTTAAGGCAGCAGAGACAGGTTGGGGGTGAAGCTGGTGTTCTTCTCTTGAGCTGGAAGCATGTTCCTTTGCAGAAACAGGACCATTGTCCCCTCCTCCTCAAACCTTTGCTTTGGGCCTCCTCCCAATCTTCACCCAGGCTGCAAGTGATACTGAAAGATTGGTGGCTGAAGGTAGCGGGGAGAAATATTGAGCAGGAGGGAGTATAGACCCAGGGCTCAGAGGTTTGCAGGCAGAGGGAGCAGGAACACATGAAGGCCATTCCCTTAACTCTCTGGTCAACGCAGGCAATTTTCATCTCTGTGATTTTCACCTACACAGTCTATATCTCCACACATACCTTGCCCATTAAATGACTAAAGTCCTGCCTTTGCTCATGACCTGGGATGACTTCCTTTTTCACCCCAATCCTGATTCTTTTTATATCTCAAAGTCCAGATCAATGTTTTGCTCTCTTAAGAAGTTATCTGCCTGCCCAGGATCATAGACTCTATAGTCCAACTCTCATTTGTAGATGAGAAAACTGAGGCCCACCCAAAGTGGGGGTATGACCATCCATAGGTTACACATCAAGCAGACCATGGAGTAAATTCTGAAGCCCACATTGGGCTCCTGGCACTAATCCTCTGCAAATACCACCAACTCCTGGCAAGGAGCCTTTCCTTGAAAGACTGGGCAGAAATGTGTGTGAAGGATTCATACTGACTTTCCCTTCAATATGGCAAAAGGAAGCCAGTAAATTTGTGTGAGAGGACCAGGCTGAGTAAAGGGTCTCCAAGGCTCAGAGAGATGCTAAAAAGAGTCTCCTGCATCTAGGAGATTGGAGTTCTAACCCAGGTTGATTCACTCTGTGGTCTTGGGCATGTGTTCATGGCATTAGGTCTGTTTTCTCATCTGCAAAGTGATCAGATTAGATTGAATGATTCTTTCTGAGGCCAAGAACAGTAAAAACACTACAGTCTTCCCAGGGGAATGGCATTAGGCTAGGACCCCAGGAACCCAGATTTGGTATCTCTTACCCAAGTGTGGGTCAGCCTAGCTGGTTGGAAACAATAGCTCCCCACTGGTAGAAGTGTTTTGCTATGCACATCCACTGGTTGTGTCATCTGTAAAGCTTCCCATGGCCTTGGAGTGTCTAACCTACATGTAATCCGGGCTGCCCACATAGCTCCCAAGCCAAGAGTTTGGCCTCTAGCCTTGGGAGTTGTCGCTTACTGAGATACTCCTTAGGCTAGACTTACCTCAAAAATGTAGTCTTTCCCATCTTTGCCATGTACAGCTTTGACAGCACAGATGTCCAGGCCACCAAACATCTCAGAGCAGGTATCTACCCACAGCTTGTACCTGGAGGAGATGAAAAGGTGTCCTGAAGCTGGGGCATTAGCTCACATCAAGCCTGCTTGGTCATGCTCTTCTTGCTGGCTCTGCCGCTCCCTTCAGCCCTCCCCAGTCTTCCCTCCCTCCATCCCCATCGAGCACACTGCCTTATCTTCAGTGCCCTCCTGCTTTGCTCTCCAGATCCAACCCTTTTTTCACGCTCAGAGCAGGTCTCACCTACTCTACATGTTCTTCATTGGCTATTCCAGCCCACAGTAACTACTCCTTTCTTGGAACTTCTATGGTATGTCCAGTCTTTACTTCCATAATTTAACACATAACCCAGTCCTGCCTGAACTTGTTAACAGCTGCTTGGGCCTTTGTGTTCTATCTGTCCTGTCCGATTAGAGGCTCCCTTTGGGCAAGGCTCATATCGTACACCTCTTTATCTGTGGAAGTCCCCCTCTCGCTGGGTAGGGGGCTGGACTCCTTGTCTCACTCACCTGTCTGACATGGCGATCTGTTCCAGCATTGCAGAACCAGTGTTTGTCTTCCAGTTCCCTGAGATCGACGTCCTCCTACAAGGTCCCGCCAGGATAGGACAGGCAGTGAGCCACACCAGCACGAGGAGGGCATGAAACTTTCCAGAATTTTAGCTCACGGCTTCTTTCTTCACCTGCTTCTCCCACAAATAGCCCAGGGGCCTGTTTGCTGAGCCTCGAGTCTGGCTGTCTCTGCCAAACCCCCACCTGAAATGCTCTCCTCCTCTCTAGAAGAGTCCAGCTCACTGCTCTGGCTTCATGAAACCTTCCTGATCTTTCAACCATAGGAGCACTTGCTCTTCTTAGGACCCCAGTAGGACTTTGCCTGTACCTCACTTACAATCCTACACCTACTTTTTACTTCAGTTATTTGAGCTAAGTCTTCTGTCCACAAGTCTGTAAACCACTTGAGAGTACATAGTGTATCTTATATGTCCAACAGCCTGTCCACTTAGTATCTGGGCTGACTTGGTACAGTAGTCCCCCCTTATCAGTGGTTTCACTTTCCATAGTTTTAGTTACCAGTGTTCAACCATAGTCTGAAAATACTGAATGGGAAATTCCAGAAATAAACAATTCATAAGTTTTCTGCACGCTGTTCTGAGTAGCATAATAAAATCTAGTGCTGTCCTGCTTTGTCCTGCTCAGGATGTGAATTGTCCCTTTGTCCAGCATATTCACTCTGCATATGCTCCCTGCCCATCAGTCACTTAGTAGCTGTCTTATCAGATTGACTGTCGTGGTATCACAGTGCTTTTGTTGTGGTATCACTTATTTTACTTCATAATGTATCATTCACCTCATTTCATCATATCATGCAGGCATTTTATCATCTCACATCACCATAAGAAGAAAAAGGGTGAGTATAGTACAATAAGATATTTTGAGAGAGAGACCACATTCAAATAACTTTTATTAGAGTATATTGTTATAACTGTTCTGCTTTATTATAGTTATTGTTGTTAGTCTTTTACTGTACCTAACTTGTAAATTAAACTTTATTATAAATATGTACGTATAGGAAAAAACATAGTATATATAGGGTTTGGTACTGTTCGCAGTTTAAGGCATCCTTGGAAAAGAGGAGACTACTGTATATACGAACTGAATTCTGTTGATCCTGGGGACATCCTCAGGGTTCTTGGACTGTCTCCCAATGGCTTCCATACTAGCTCACTTATTCATTGATTCATTCAACAATTGGTTTCTGAGGGCTTTTAGTGTTAGCAATGTGACTCTGGACAAGTCAATTAACCTCTTCAGGCTTAAGTTGCTTCATTCAACAAATGAAGCTGATGGAACCAAGTCACTAACATGTTCTCTGCTGTGCCCTCTGCACCATCCATCCATGACCATGTGTTAGAATCAACTAATCTTGGGCTAAGTAGGAGGCAGATAACCTGGTTTTTGGGTCTGAATTTGTTCTTGACTGGCTGGTGACCTTGGGTGAGTCATTTCAACTGTCTGAGTCTCTCTTATCCCTTTGTAAATACAGGGTTGTCATGAGAACCAATTGATACAGTTTTAAATAAACTGTAAAACAGCAAAAATATGTCTTTTTAGTTATTAGTCTTCACTTAGACACAGTCAAGAGGATGGGATTGGCTTAGGGTACAGAAAAGCCCTACTCTCACCACTGACAAAGACCTTCATGTGCTGTCCTTATCACTTACTACTGGTTGGAGACTGGAAGTGCTAGTTTCTACTCAGAAGTTCGCAGGAGTACCCTCCCTAGAGATCTGATTTCAGACACTGGGAAACGAAAACGTAGTATATAGCTAAATTTTCAGAGCCCCACAGCAGCGCAGTGAGTCAACTCATGTGGTAATAACAAGTCCTCACACTCTGTACAGCGCTTTTCAAGGTTCTTTCCCCGCAAGCTGCTCACCAGAGCCTCATGGCAACCTCTCTGTTGTGAGCAGGCTGGGATTCTTGCCCCCACTTTGCAGACAAGGAGATTAAGAGTCAGAAAGGGTAGCTGACTTGTCCAAGCTTGTATATGTAGTCAAAGTAAATATAAGATAAAAATCCAGGACTTTTTGTTCCCATTGTGCTATGCTTTTCTCTATGCTCCACTACCTAGCTAAGAAATAAACAAACAACTAACAGTGGAATGGCTCAAAAAATTTGAGTAGGAACACAAAGATCATCATGAAAATAACACTGTCTTCCTAACACTGTGTTTTATAGGAGTGTCCCTGTGACAAGGCTGGGGTCCTGAAGGGCAAAGGCAGAGAGTCACTCAATTCTGCACAGGGCCGTGGTACATAACAGGGTTCTCAGAAACTCTGAGTGAGCAATAATGTCCTTTACACATCACACCTTTCTCTAACATCAGGATGCAGGGCACAGATCAATGCAGGCTACCTGGGGCATGTGGGAGCAGAGGGGACATGGAGAAGCCACTCACTGACAGCTCAACTGCCTCTCAGGACTTGTAGGACATCTGACCTTCACAGAAGGTCCCACATAATTGCTTACAGAAGATGGAGCAGGAACAGCACCTCCTTCCCACCTAACATAGCTGTCTCTGGATCTGACTTCTAGGGTGAGAGCTAGGGGGGAAGGGAAGACTCTCAAACCTTACCTTGCCTATTGCCAGCCAATTCCTTCTTCTGAGAGCAACGGGATAGCCAAAAGTTTGGGGAAGAAGAGCTGAGAGGACCTAAACATTCCCCCAATAACTGACTGTCCTTTGCAAATAAAAAATGAGTAAATGTTTTCTAAAGCTGCTCTGGTCACCTACCTTTCATCAACGACTGGGGATTCTTTTATGCTTCATTTAAATTGCTTTTGGAAACTCTACTCCTTAAAAATGTGGTGTCTCCTTTTAAAAGATCAAGACACTCTGGCTCCACTGTCATAAATGTTTTGTGTTTATTTATTTAGGGGATTTTAAAATGAAAGGATAGGAAATCTGCTGTCCCAGGTGCCTGAACATATTGATTTTTCTGCTTCATTTAGAAAGTTTTTATAATGGTCTTCTAAATTATCCTGTCTTACATTGTGTATAATTTAAAAGCAACCCTAAATTCCTTTCTGAAGCAGAAAGACTAAAAAAATTTCAAACTTTTAAAAAGTAGGAATCTAGTCAATAAAGGTGAAAAAGATTCTATGTCTTGGTTCTCCACAAGGGCTGTGAATCGGTTTCTGTGTGTCCGCTGCTGCACAGGTAATGGGGCTGCAGAGACGATTCCATCCTTTCTGCCCAGAGAGATCAGAGGAGCGTGATACAAATTCATATGCATGAAAGGGCTAAACTAGAGGTGTGTGAAGGGTTAGGAGAAGGGAGTGTAGGCAAGGGGCTCTTAACTCCAGGGTGGGGAGCAGAAACACTAAAAAGGGGATGAAGGACGAAAAATGGAAACGGATGGGTAAGGGAAAGGGAAGCTGCTCAACCTTGAAGTCTGCTAAGTTCTGGGTGGCAAAGATCAAATTCATATATTATAATGTTCTCTCTTTGTAAAAAAAAATACTACTTTAATGTTTTTTAAATGGGAGGTCAATATTGCCAAAATAATTGTAATCCATTTGCATATATATATATATATATATATATATATATATGTATACACACACACACACACACACACACACACACACACACACACACACACACATATATATATTACATACACATATACTGGGGATGCCAAAAAAATGTATACACATGACTTGTATTCATCTTTTGTTATCAGTATATATTGAGTACTACAATTTTAATACAGTTTTTTCCTTTCTGAAAATGTGTATACATTTTTTTGGCACCCTCTGTGTGTGTGTGTGTGTGTGTGTGTGTGTGTGTGTATTATATAAAGGAAGATAAGGTAGTCTTGAAATATTTTCTTTTTCTAAATTCTAATGAGGGGAACCTTTAACTTTCCATTCTGGCAAATGGGCACAGTTATATGAAGAAGTCATCTATTCTCATAACCACTAGGCTTTTAGTGCTCTATAGTGTTTGGGGGGCTATATATTTACATCAGGAGTTTCTTAATTTTTTTCTGTGCTGCTGGCAGACTGGTGAAACATACAGGTTCCTTTCAATGTATAAAATGTGCAAGATGTGTAAATGCATAAAGCATAAGGATAATGAAGGAACTCGCTTATTTAAAATAATTATCAAAGTAGAATTATCAAAATATTAAACAAATCGGTGATTAGTAAAAAATGTTTCTTTATAAATAACAAATAGTTTTAGGGGTAAAGGTAGTGGCAGGTCTAATAATTACCATGGTTCTTAAGTAGTGATAACAGTAATTGGTATTTAGAGATATCTGTCACAATTGTACAAAAATACAAAAAATCTCTGTGATTACCTTTAGTGACAAAGTCACATGTGCTGCTGCTACTACTACAGTCTAGTTTTTGTTCATAACTGAGGAGAATGCCAAATTTCACTTAACCTCTAGTGAAAGTAAAGATGAATTTTATTTTTCATCTTAGTTCATGGACCCCTCCTCTGACTTGAAAAGAACCCAGGCTAAGAATCCCTGACTTGAATGGCACCCTCTCTCTGTTCTCTGCCTTGTGGGCCAGATGGGGTGAAACAGAGTTGGTGGCTATCTGGAGGCTCAGAGTCTCTGCTGGGCTGAGGAGACAGTGAAGAGTATCCACTGGGACCCCACCGCACTCACATGTAAGCCTTGTAGTTGTTGCCTATCTTCTGGACCCGGATGTCATACTTGGCGTCAATGAAAGGCTCTGCTGTGGCATAGGTCTGGGTGAGGGCCACCACGCTAGCAATATCCTGGAAGTCATAGTGATTTTCCACTTTGACCTAATGTTGGAGCAAGGCAGAGAGGAAGAAAATGAAACATACACATACATACACTGAGAGTTATAAGAGCCCTGAGCCTCCAAGCCCATCAAGGTGTTTCCCATCCAGATGCAAACCTGGGTACCATATCTCCCTAGGAGGCCCCTTCTCTCTAGCTTCCTTTCCCAGGGGGTTCAGGGGCCACACCTGCTGCAAAGGACTCACAGGACCAAGCAGGTGGCCTGCAATGCACTCTGCTTGCTGTAAAAGGCCTGTTTGGGTAACGTTCATGGCTTCAGACAGACCAAATCATCTTGTCCTTGAAAAGAATTCATCAGTAACAGGGGTGGACGAATAGTCCATAACTGGGCTCTCAGAAAAGTGCCTCTCTTGTCCTCAATCCCAAAGCACAGCAGGCCCCAGCCTTACCTTGCCCATGCCCGAGTGAGCATGGCCAATCTTCACCACCACAGGGAACGTGGGCAGTGTCAGCTGAAAGCAGAGGAGAAAGGAATGAATTAGTCAGAGTGAGCCTGTCTCTCTGTGGAATCTTACAAATATTTTTCTTGGGAGCCCCCTCAAGGGGCCCTTTAAAGATAAAGTCCAGCCTATTTGCTTTATAAATTAAAAAACTGAGGCCTGTAGAGTGACAGTGACTTGCCTAAGGCCACAGCATATTAGTGGCAGAGCCATAAGAATCCTGCTCTCCTACTTGGTACTCTTTATCTTTAAAACTCATTGTGTCAGCCTTCCCAGTATTAAACAAACCCTGGGTAGAATTGGCCCTTAGCCAAAGAGAATTTGAAAAAAAAAATGCATCTTTGAAAGGGTGAATTTTACTGTGTGTAAATTGTACCTTTGTAAATCATAATTACAAAAGGAATATATCTTTGGAATCTGAATGTCCCTTTTGTCATGTACCTCTTAGTCCCCTCCCCTCCCCCTTCAAACTCCCAGCTTTCCTATACTAACCCGATCTTTTCTCCCCCTTTCACAGTCTCTTCATTGCTCACTAAAACCCCAAACTGACCACCAAACACAGCTTAGTATGCTAAGACCTATTTCTGCCCGGCTTGGAGTCTGGAAGAGGGCTGACATAAAAATTCAACATGTTAATCATTTGAAAGACCTTTAAGAGAGTAAACTTTACCTTGATGTAGCTTTATTTTAACAGAGAAACAATAAAAACTTAAAAGCACAACTACCCTCCAAAACTAGTAATTCACGCTGTTAAGAAATGGTGGTGAAAGAAGTTAATATGGCAGAGTGGAAGGAGACTTGTATCCTAGTCCTCTCTGCCACTGGCTTTCTGCCAGCCACTTCACCTCGCTGAGCTTCACTCTTCACATCTGCCAAATGAAGAGACTGGACTGGCTGCTGGTGAAGGTCCGTCCAATCAGACTCTACATTGGTTTGAGTGTGGTATGAAGAACAAACCTGGACACCTTCTCATCTTTCTCACTCAGGCTCAGCTCTCTTTCAATGTCCTTTTCAAACATCAATACCACATCAAAATGAAAAGGTGTCTTTTAAAGGAAATAACGTTGACTGATGAAGTCAGATTCCCATGGAAATCCTACGTGTGATCAGATACTGGGAGTACCTGACCTGAGGATTTCAGTATTCCTGGCTGAGGCCAGCAGAGGGTTGGGCAAAGAGCTTCAAAGGGCTTTGGAAATCATATAGTTCAGCCCTATTTTATGGAGAAGAAAGGGAAGCCCAGAGAGGCAAAGGTCATAAGGGTACCTAGTGACAGAATCAGAACCCAGCTTCCTATCTAGTTCAGCACCGTGTGGCACCATCCTCTGCAATAATCCTGTGGGTCTCTGTATTTGGAGCCGGGGAGCACTGTGCTCTGGCAAACAATAGACAAGATTCGGGTGGCACTGCTCTGCTGGAAGTGCCTTGCATCTTTGTTTTCTAAGCTTATATAACAAGACATAGTCTCTCCAGTGAGTAGCGACAAGAGACAGGAGTCAGTGTAGCCTAGGGTCTGAAGAGGGCTTTGAAGTAGGTCCCAGATTTGCCCTAGGTGATGGGGTACTCTGCTTTGAGCTCCCACCAAGTGCACTGTCCTCAGCCATCTGCAGTCTGAGGCTCTGGGTACGGGAAAGGGTTTCTAAAGCACTGGCTGCTTTCTGACATCTCTCCCCCACCCCCCAGCTGACAGAGCCAAGACACACATACACACACACACACCCCAAGTTTCTCTGTCCTAGTCCATTACTGTTTACTGTTGCTTTGGAGCCTCCTAAATAGGGCATTGAAAACACTTCCTGCAGCTGAAAGAAGCCCTGAGTAGCTTGTCTCATTCCCAGTGTGCAGCTCAGCAAGGGGTCCGTCCTTCTCTGTCACTGTCTCTTTTGCCTGTTGTAATTCCGTCTGCCTCTCTCTGACTCTGCCTGTCTCACTCTTTCTGTTTGTGTCTCTCCTCACTCTTGTTCCTTCTGCCTGAATCACAGTCCCTCCTTCTTTCTGCCTCGAGCATTTGTTTTGTTGCACTTTCTTTTTGCCATGACACCATCCCCTCTCCCCTTCCCTCCAAGCTGGACGGCTTAATTGCTCAGGCAGGGAAATAGAGGCTAGGGGCCTCTCTCCTGGCTTCCCTCTTCATCTTATTGAGCCTGTCGGTCAGGAAGGCCGGGCGCGCGGGTCCTGCAGCTGCGGGTGGCCTACAGCCAAAGGAGGGCGGAGCCCATCGGGGCGGGATTGGCCCTAGGTCCCCCTCATAAAGCCTAGGGCGAGGGGCTTAAGAGGTTCTGAAAGAGCCCTGGAGGGGCTATTTGATCCGACAGACCCCACAGGCTTAGTCAGGGCTCTGCAGTGTCATGCCCCGGAGCCCCCGGACCGTGCCAAGCTGGGCGCTGTTGCTGCGGCTGCTGGCACTTCTGCGGCCGCCGGGGCTGGGCGAGGCGTGCAGCTGCGCCCCCGCGCACCCCCAGCAGCACTTCTGCCACTCCTCGCTTGGTGAGTCCGGATGCCTAGGAGGCCCACAGCCGCGGGTGGTTGTGTGGGATTGGTATGGGGCCGAGCTTTAGACCTGTAGTGTGGAGGTTAAAGAAGGGGCTCAAATTCCGCACCAGTTGCCTCCTGTTGGGGCTGATGGGTTGGGCAAGGCCGGCACCATAGCAACCTTGCAAGCACAGAGCCTGGCTGACTTGCAAGTAAATAGAGACTGTAAGGGGCCACCAGAGACCACCCTCACCCCTGCCTACTGCAATTATGGAGTGCCACTGAACAAGTCACTGGAACTATCCAATAATTATCTGAACTACTGGGTGGGGGGAGGGGGAAGCCAGAGGCCAGGCGGTTGGGCTTTCATTATAAACATCCCTGTGTGCTCTGTGTCCAGGACTATAACTGAGGTAGACCCCATGTGTCCACCCCAACACACATCTTTTGCCCTTTCTCTTCCTCTGCCTGGAATGCCCTTCCCCCACCCTTAAATTCCTGTCAAACTCCTATTCATCCTTCCAGGTCTTACTCAGGTATCTCTTCTTCTGTAAAGGCTTCCTGACTCCTTGGTGCTACCACAGTATCTCTAACATCTAGTGTGCTGTGCTGTTGTTCTTTGTAAGTGTGTTCTCCACTAAACAGAGTTCTGCAGGACGGGGGACTCTGTCTTAGTCATGTTTATGGGCCTAGTACCTAGTATTAGGCCAGGAACAGAGGAAGAACTTCATAAACAGTTTTCGATTAATGCCCAAATGGCAAGAGATGAACTACCTCTGTGCAGGGTCAGATCATTTATTAAGTCAATAAACATTCACTAATATCAACGCTGGGTGGGTTCTAGTTCCGTCCTTGGGCTACATCAGTAGATGACTGCACACTGACTGCCCTCAAGGGGCTCCTCCTTCCTCCTTTATCCTGACGCCCACCTCCATCCCCTCGTACCCTGTGCTATGGAGAACTAGACTCTCAAAACTAGCAGGTAAAGTGTAAGAATGTAGGACCCTACAGGCCTGATTGCAAAGGAGGAGTTTCCAGATCCCCACTCTCTCACATCATCCTCCTCACAAGCAAACAAGACATAAACCCAGAATCCCCTACACAATTCTCTAGGGGCCCCAGGTTGTCCGGATCCTACATGGACTGCTCCCACAGATTGCTGAAGGTTCCCTCTTTTTGCTTCCTATGCAGCCATCCGGGCCAAAATCTCCAGTGAGAAGGTAGTTCCTGCCAGTGCAGACCCTACTGACACTCAAAAAATGATCCGGTATGAAATCAAACAGATAAAGGTACATGGGGACAGGACAGGGCTTTTACTCCCTGGGCTTTTGGGAGGAGTAGGGGTCTGTGTTCTGGGGAGGGTGGGGCTGGTAGGTCCGGCAACCCGGCTCAGTGATCCTGGGTGTAGATGCTGAAGTGGAAGTGGATGAGAAGCTGGGAGCAGGGCTCACGATATCTGAGTGATAGTCCAGGACAGGCCCTCAGTGTCCCTCTAGTCCTTTAGCTGCCTGTGCATGGGGATGCTAGAGGTACCTCCCCTCTCACTGGAATAAACCAAGGTTCAGATTTTTTAAAAGAGAAATGATCCAGTTGGGCCATCTGTATGGACCAAATCCTGAACTAGACTTTTGCTTAATTTTTTTAGACTGAGAAATAAGAAGTTTTTCCTGTTAAGATATAAAGTTGACTCACTGACCCAATACTGCTTTTTTGTAATTGCCTTTCAGATGTTTAAAGGGTTTGAGAAAGTCAAGGATGTTCAGTATGTCTATACACCTTTTGATTCCTCCCTCTGTGGTGTGAAACTAGAAGCAAACAGCCAGAAACAGTATCTCTTGACTGGTAAGTGAAAGAGCAGCAAGTGGCCCCAGACTTAGGACAGTCTCTGTCCTAAGGAAGGCAGCCAAGGAGGAGCCAGGGCTACCTTTGGGCAGCAAGCTGAGCCAGGTGACATTTTCTTGAGCATAAAGCAGAGCTGTGTTGCTAAGAGGCAGCCACTGAAGAGCCTTGGTAACCTCCCTTTCAGGGCAAAAGTCCTCGTTACAGTGATCTTGGCCACTGCTTCACTATTGTAAGGACAGGCTGCTCTCCCAGCCTAGGGCAGCTGGTTCCATTTTCAAATAGTTTTAATTGGCATGAGATTTTTGGTACCTTGAGCCAAAATATGCCCCTTGTGGATTCAGCTCTGCCCTCTGCTCCATGATGATCCCTCGGAGACTTGAAGAAGAGACACGTGCACTCTAGCTTCAGGTCTGCTGGCTATGGTTCTCAGCCCCCTTCCTATCCTGGCCACCTTCTGCAATGGGACACAGCCTGTCCCTGTCCCTTCCCTAGCACAGGGCCCTGAACTAGACACAACACTACAGGAAAGGTCTTAGGTTTACAGAGTAAAGGAGGGCTGTATGTGTACAATCCCCATCCCCAACACACACACATTATAGTTACTGTAGCCTACGATGGCATTAGCTTTAGAGAGCCACATCCGGTCACACTCTTGACTCATAGTGAGCCTGTGTGGCTAACTCACACCCCAGGTCCTATTTTGGGGGTACAATAAAGCACCAGCCCCAACAGGAGCCTTGAGTCTAACATGGTTCTGTCTCTATTAACTTGGGCCCAGGCAGGTCTCCTCCATTCTGAGTTGATTGCGACAGAACAGTTAAAGAGCCACACAAGACTATGACTTTATAAGTGAATGAATGCAATACCGTATTATTTTGTAGTTCAGGGAAGGAGTTATTTTTGTGGTTGTAAACAATTAGGCAATCTTCATTGTGTAAGTGGGATCTAAATTAGCCCTAAAGGATGAAAAATACTTAGAAAGGTAAGGAAAAGAAAAACACAGCAGATAGAGAGAACAGGAATTCCACTATCTGCCCATCCATTCAGCAATGAATTACCACCTACTTGCTGCAAGGCCTTAGATAGGAGAGTGGAGACTCAGTAACAGGTCATAATCCTCAAAAAGCTCACAGTCCAGATTTGGCTCTTGAGAAGTCATAGGCATTGGAGGCTATACTAGTAGGGGCTCCCCAGCTCTAAGGATGTGGAATTGTGCTGATCTGGGAGGCTCTAGATGGGAGATGCAGAGGCAGAGCATGTCACTGAGCCCTTCACGTCCTAGAACTAGCAGATGAGGCTACCTCCTGACTAAGCACCTACCCTCTGCGTGCCTGCCCTCCACCAGGCACTGTGTGCATCAAGGAAGCAGGAGGCATGCTCTCTGCCCTTGAAGAGGTCAAGTCTAACCAAGTGTGAGGATAAATGACAAGACACAGGGTCTCCTAAAATGTCATCAGCAATGCCCATGCTCTTCAGGAAAAGACACAAGCTCTTTTGCCTAATGTTGAAAGCCCTCTGTGACCATAACACTGCTGACCTTTCCAGCTTTGTCTCCTGCCACTTATCACTGGCACTTCCCAGCCCCTCATTTTCCCCAGAGTTGAACTAAACTACTTATAGTTACAGAAGGTGTTCTGCTGGCTGTGCCCCTCCACCTTTGCACAGGATAGTCCCCAAATCCAGAAATCCTTCCCCCAATTTGTCTGGCAGGTAAACGCCTACCCATTCCTTCAAGGCCCAACATAGCATCATCTCCTCTTACACACCTTCCTTGCCCCTACCCCTTCCACAGACAGAGAAAATTCTGCTTTCCTTTGTTCTTATACTGCTCTTGTATATAATCACACAACAGTGTAATTTTTGTCTACTAATGTGTCTGACCTACTAGTTTAAGCTCCTTGAAGGCAAAGGTCCTGTCATATTTATTTCCTTATTCCTGGTACCAGGTCTAGTAGTTGCTCAACAAGTAAATGATTGAGCAACTAAAATCCTAAGAGGTGTGGGCTTGCATGGTCAGGGATGGCTTTGAGGATGAGGTGGTACTGAAAAGGGTCTTTAGAAGTTAGGAAAGAGTTTGATAAGTAAAAAATGGGAACTTTCCTATGGGGAAAGGGAAAGACTTACCAAGATAGGTATCAATGGGGCAGAAGACTGACCTGTGTAGATACAGGGAAGAGTTGGAAAGAGGAAGGGACCTATTATTTATTAAGCATCTTCTGTGAGCCCACAACTGTGCTGGGAACTTTACCAATATTCTCTCATTTAATTCTGGCAATAACCTTATTATTCTTACCTTCCAGGTCACACAGCTAGTAAATAATAGAAAAGAAGGGGGTTCTACCAAGAGTCTGACTTTAAAGCCCATGTTCTTCTCTGCACCATGCTCAAGGAAAAGATCTTCATCCCACAACTCTCCTTTGTACAAACATAATATTTGATATACAGATTATAGAGGTTTTTCTGGTCCCTTCATTGAGCTCCATGTCACTACTGCCACCAAAAAGCCATTGAAGAGGCTGCAATTCTGAGCTCTTCAAGGACCTGGGCTCTTGGAGCTTCATGAGCAGATTCCTCATGCTAATTTCTCCTCCATTTCCCTTAAAGGTCAGGTCCTCAATGATGGCAAAGTCTTCATCCATCTGTGCAACTACATCGAACCCTGGGAGGACCTATCCTTTTTGCAGAGAGAAAGTCTGAATCACCACTACCATCTTAACTGTGGCTGCCAAGTAAGAGAATGTCCATTTTCAAGGTCTTTTGTGGGTAGGGGAGGGTCTTGAGGCTTTCAGCCTCACCATTCATGTATTCCTTCCTTCAGGCATGTGTTTATTCACTTAGTATAGTATACTTGAGATCTGCCATGGATCAGGCAATGTGTGAAGTCGGAGATGGGAAAGCAAAATAGTCCATAGTCCCTGATCTCAAAGTATATATATTTTGGTGCAGAAGGCAGACATCATATAAGGCAGACTGAGATAATATAGCTACCGTTTAAAGAGAGCCTACTCTTTCCCAGGCCCTGTAATGGTCAATTTATTTAAAATATTTTAATGTAGTCTTTATAACAAATGTATGAAGAATTAAGATTTCAATTTTAAGGTGAAGAAATTAATGCTCTAGGAAGTAAAACTTGTTGAAGATCAGTGGTAGAGTAAGGACCCTAAGGTTCGTCTGATTCCAGAGATGCCATTAGAGAGGCAATACTATATGTGGGGGGCATAAGTAAAGGAGAACTCAGGGAATTTTAGAGACTTGGAATGGCTTCATAAGGCAGGGGCATTTGAGCAAGGCTGTAAGGATATGTAGGAGTCTGAAAGGCAATAATAGAAAAAGGACACCCCACTCACATTGATGTTGTGTAACTATGACTATAGATCATCACCTGCTATACAGTGCCGTGTACCATCTCGGCCCCCAACGAGTGCCTCTGGACAGACTGGCTGTTGGAACGGAAGCTCTATGGGTACCAGGCCCAGCATTATGTCTGCATGAAGCATGTGGATGGCACCTGCAGCTGGTACCAGGGACGCCTGCCCCTCAGGAAGGAGTTTGTTGATATCATCCAGCCCTAGTAGAGACCAGTGACCACCACATTCCTTCAGGAGTTCTGAAGACCAAGACAGTTCTCCTTCCCTGTCACCACCTGCCTCATTGTTGCCAGCCAATGAGAAATACCAAGCGGATGGTCTGGCTAGCATTAGAGCAGGGATGGGGCATATTATAGCTTGTGTCCAAGACCCCAGCCCAGAACCTGTCAAAGGCTAGGGAAAGTAGAATGACTTTTCAATCCTGCCCTCGGCCCTTCAGCCCTGCCTCCAAACCCTTTTAGTCTAGTCAATACCTGTTACTGAAAATTTTGATTCTGGCTTAGTTTGTTTTCCAAAGCCGGAACTATTTCCTTTCTCCCTAGGAAAATGTGTTTTTCTTACTTTAACTGACCTGATGGGGAGAAACGGTGAATGTTACACATATGAAATGGCGTAGCCTTCTGATGTACAATACAAGAAGGCGGGTTGACAGTATCATAAACAGGCTGGTTTGGAGGCATGAAAAGAGCAACATACTGTGGCTGTGTATCCTCTACTTCAATCTCAATTCATCCTAATCTCATACGCTTTCATCTGTTTGGGGGAGTGACTTGCAGGGGCATGGAGTCACTCAGTGTGAGATCTACAATGACCTAACCTCCCTCCATATGCTGTAATTCCCTTTACATCATTTCTGGCAGAGTCCGGCACACCTCTTTGGATAAGAACAGACCTAGGTATGGTCTCTCCAGGTTAACTATGCTTAATGCCCTTGACTGATGTCATAGGCTTCTCTTTTCTTTCAGAAAGTCCTTCTCTACTAGATTACTAATGACTTCATTCCTACTTCAGAACTTTTTTTTAAGCCAAAAGCCTTTCTCTTGTAGAGTTGAAATTCCCCTTTAGTTTTTGACACCTCAGAGATATCTTACGAGGTCTTTTCTTGCGGGCAAATTTCAAGATAGAGGACAGGAGAGAGGTAACACAAGGGCCTTTCAGGGGAAAGGATGGTAGATAGAGAACATACTGTGCAATTTTTTTCAATTGTTTTTAAGCAGTCAGCCCTGCTAGATATTACAACAGCAAAACTCCAGCTTTACTCCTCATCCTCCCTTCAGCTCAGTCCCCTCACCACTGTGTGTTGGACTCCATGAGAACTCTAAGCACAGACCCCTTAGGGTTCCTCAACTTCTGCAAAGCTTCCTGATGGTTTCAAGGGTTTATTAAGGACAAGGGCTTCAAGCTCCAAAGCCTTTCCCTGGGGAAGCTCTGACAAAGATGAAGGAGCTAGTTCTTTTCAAGGCCCAAGGTTGTTGTTATTCATCTTCTGTGTGTTGTTTGCTGATAAGCAGGGCCATGAACAATATGCCAGAAGAAGGCTTTCGATTTACAAAAATGGTGCAAATGGAGATCCTTTCTGGAGAACAGAGTGGGAGGGGAACAAACATTATATCTGTCCCAGAGTACACTTCAAATGCTGTGACAGAGAGTCTCCACTGGAGAGCTAAGCAGGATCACCAACTGACCACGAAGGCCTAGGGCAGAGGATTTGGCGACAGAGAGGAAGAAGGGGGTTGATTTCGAGGTCTCCACAGAGGAAAACATTAGCAATAGCCTCTGTACCAACCAACCATGCCATCTCTCTGCTCCTTCTGATGTCCTTGGAAGGCCTCAGAGAAAGCATAGTGTTAACCCAGTCTTATTGCAATCTTGACAAAGCCAAGGGAATGGAAGGGCCTGGTAATAACAAGAATACCACCTTACATCTGAGGAGCACTTCACACTTTTCCAAAGTCTATTACTTAAAAAACTCACTTAAATTTTTAAGTACCAAATTAGGTATCCTGGTCAGGAATAATTTTGCTCATTTGACTTTCCAATTGGGAAAGTGACACACAGTGAGGGAATATAACTAGTTCAATGACACGTGGCAGGGTCAGGGCTAGAACCCAAAGCAGTGGGATCTTCCGACTGTTGATCCACAGAAAGGTTTATTACTTTCTCATCTAGTTCAACTGCCTTGTTTCTGCTCTTCCCTCTTCTATCGCTGATTTTGGAGGCAAGGAGCTCTATCAGCTAAAATCCAGTCACTCTGGCTCCACAAAGCAGGTCCACAGTTGAACCCCAACAGAATCTCTGGGGTTGAGATGCTGAGGCTCTCTTCAGAGCCCCATAGTCACATGTGACTAAGCTCAGAGTGGAAATAGCAGAGACTAAAGTCCCTACTCAATCACCTACCATCTCTTTGTGGTTGGGGTAGTATGTCTGCTCAATGAGTGGGAACTTTTCTCCTCCCAGTGTCTTGTAGATGGCCACCAGCTGGGCAAACTGCAAAAGAGAAGCAAATGTTTCAGCTTATCTAGACAACTTATGCAACAGGCAGACAAAACAACAATTTATCAAACAAATATTTATTGAACATTTGTTCTGTTGAGGGCTTTGTGCAAAGCACTCTGAGGATATAAAAAAGGTATACAATTCCTATTCCCAAGGAACATATTCTTTAGTTGGGAAAAGGAGAGAATGAGCTAACATTCATTTAGTACCTACTCAATTTTAATGATGTTTCACTCGGTACTCATATTAAACTAAAGAACTAGGTACTTTATCATCTTCATTTTACATGAGACTCAGAAGGGGTAGGAAAGTTACCTAAAGTTACAAAGCTGCAAAGAGGTGAAGCTGGGATTGAAATTTGGGTCTCTAACTTTGAACACCTACATTTCTAGAGATGGCAAGTGATGAAGCTGGATAGGTAACATGGGGCCAAGTCTTGGAAGTTCAAATGCCAGGCAAAGGAATGGAAGCTTTTTCCTATAGGTAGTATGGAGTCATCAGAATTAGAGCAAGGGGGTCATGAATTAAACTGTTCTTCAGGAAAATTTTGGTGGTCATGTATATAGAACAGACAGAGCCAATCTTTCTAGGACTTGCTACTCAGCTGGACCCTTCACCTATGAGAAACTAGAATGGCTTTCTGAGGAAGAGGTGAAGTACACATAATGTCAAGATCGAAAGGCCCTTGGCAAACATCTAGCACCCTCTGCCTCACTCCCCACCATTTTATATGTGAAGAAACTGAGGCCCAAAGAGGTCACTTGCCCAAGGTCACATAGTAGTTGAGCCAGATTCATAGCCAGGCCCCTTTATTCCTAATCCTTAACTCTTCCTATTCCCTTAAGTAGCTGTCTTTCAGACTCTGTAGAGACCAAGCACCTTCCACAGGAAGCACACACAGGACTTTCCTGCTCAATCCATTCACACACACCTCCACACACCTGGCCCCAGCGCACTGGCAGCAGGGATAATCCAGCATCTTCCCTCTAGTTCTACTGGGTTATTTCAGTCTAAGCCACCAATATCTGGAACTCTTAGAAGGAAAGTTGCCAGATCAAACTGCCTTCTATTTATCAGAGAAAGGAAAGCTAGAACATTTTTCAAAAACTCAGGTCCTGTTCTCTATAAGGGATGTTAGCATATGAGCCAGTGGGGGCGACCTGGGTGTAGTAGTAAAAGCTCAGAACTGGGTTGTTAGAAAACTGGGGTCTTCTGATTCTTGTTCTGCCTCTAACTTGCTAGGTGTCCTTTGGCAAATGATTTCTCCTCTCCAGGCCTGATTATCTTCATATTTAAAATGAGAGGATTGAATTAGAACAGTCCTTAAACTTTTTTACTACAAAGAACGTATTTTATTGTATTTCCTCCCAAACTCCATTATCAAACTGCAGTTTAAGTGATCATCTGTTGTGGTCCTTCTGTGACAAAGACAGGATTTTATTATTATTTTTGAAATGCTGGAAAATGTTGGAATTTCTGGATCACTTCCCTTAGTGACATGGTAGGTGACTCTAGATCTCTAATGCCTCACCAGGATTGAAAGTATGACTCATGGACTCCCAAGGCCCTAATATTTTATTACTGAAGGAGACGTTAGAGAGCTCTGGACCAAACATCTCATTTTACAAATGAGGAGACTGAAGCTAGAGAAGCCAAGTGAAATCTAGGCTCCTGGATCACGCCTGGAGCTGCGGCTGCACTGAGGCAGCACCCAGGCCTCCTCTTGCCCAGTGCGTTCTCCATTATTCCCTGCTGTCCTTGCCTGTCTATGGGTCTTCAACTTGCTTTGACTATCAAGACCAGTTCCTCATATCTTTCCTGCCTTCTCTGATTCTCTCAACCACCTCATCTGACCTATAAGTCCTGCCTGCCCAGCTTGGCCTGGCTGGACTCCTGCTCTGCTTCTGGATAGTCTGAGCTCCCAAGGTTCCCCAGAAGTCCCCCGCCAGCTCTGCCTACAACCTCTGTCCTGCTGCAGCCCACGCCCTGGCGTGGCACCAAGGCATGTGGGTCTCTATCTTCCCAGCATGTGGGAGAGTTACACAGACACCACACTGGTGCCAGGAAGGCCCGCGGCAGACTCTCAGAGTCCTGGGACAGCCAAGACTAAAATGGTAGCCAGTTCCCAGGGACTCTGGGGGCTCACCCTACCCTCCTCTACCTTATCTCCAGCTGTCCCTATCTACGCAAGGTACCGGGCTTCACACTGACCCCTGCCTCCTTAGAAACTTAGAGTAAGTCACAAGTACACAGTCACCAATTAAACAAATGTAACATCCGATAAGGGTTATTTCCTCTATGCATAGACAAAATGGATTTGTGAGCTGGGGGTGGTATTGGCAATGAATAGGAAGATAATGTTCATTATAACCACTCATCCAATGAATCAGGAAATATTTCTTGGAAGAAATGGGATTTCAAGGTCAGTCTGAATTTAATAAGTTATCCTTATCCCTCCTAGAAATAAAATGCTTAATTCAACCCTAGTGCATCTGTGTCTAAAAAACCCAGATAGAGTGACAGGGTTTATTAGCAGTGATATGGGTTGATGACATTCTTGCTTTCTCTGGAATGCTATTTTCGTTGATAGGTCCACTTCTCTTTCCAAAATCCTAGTGTGCCTGTCCTGACCAATTTATGATATAGGAGATGTGCTCAAAGACACAGTGACGCCAGGTAGAGCCTTTTCCAACCAACCACGGGCTTTCCTCACACCAAGAGCACCCACAATAAAGAAATTTAGAAAATATGAACCAAAGTCATCATCTCAGTCACCAAGTTTGTTCACTCCCATTAATACACAGAGGACAATATATAAAATGCCATTAGTGTGGCAGCTGTTTAGTAAAAATGAAGGGAGAACTTGGTGTCTGGCCAGGGAGCCCTGCTGTTCTCATGTGACGCCAAAGGCAATGGGCTGGGATTGTGAATGGGTGAGAATGTGAACCCTCACCAGATCCCAGATCCCAGGAGGGGCCAAGCCCTAGGCATGGGCTCTCTGATCCTCCTCCCCTCCCTGGCCTCTGGCACAGTTTTGAAACATAAAGCAGGGAACTAGTTTCCATAAGAAATCCCATATACTAGGGGACTGTAATAACCAGGCTGGCAAATTGGTGGCAGACAAAGAAACCGTGGCACAGAGAGGTTTAGTTAGAAGGCTGATTAGTGAAATCAGCAGAATCACCCTGTGTGGCTTTGAGAAAGCCAAAATCTAACAGCTACTGAGGGGGCTGGGGGAAGGAGTAGGGCACATGTGCAGTAGGGAAGGTCACATGACTAAGGAGAACGGGCAGGTCCCTAGAAAAGAAGCTTGGGGAAGGCCTCATATGTGCCCTTTTGTGACTAGCAACACACTGAAATCACACAATTCTGTTAGAATTCCAGATGCCTCAGGGCACACAGAGAGAAAGGCTGAACAAGTGGAGGTTGGGAACCCAACCCTCTCTCCTCAACCACAGCAATTTCCAGATCTTTTGACTCCTCATTCATTGGTCTTTCTCTTACACTGTCAGGTCTCCCTGGCTTCCAAGGGAACAGGAAAACTGAGTAAGGGTGTGAAAAAAAGAACAAAAGCAGAAGCAATGGATCTGTTCGGTTAAAAAGAAAACCCTTCCAGCTCCCTAAGTGGTGGAAATGCTTGGGATCCAAAAACTTCAACTTCAAAATCAGGCACCAGTGCCATGACTCCTGGCAAGCCAGCATGTGATGGCTCACATTTGATTTTGAAAAGCAAGAAGAGGGGCATGTTTTTAGGGGCAGGTGTTTTCCTCTGAGAGGGCCAGCCTGGAGCAGCAGTTATAGGAGCTGGGTCCCCTCAGCTGTCAGAGGGAAGGCCAGAGTGCCCCAGTAGCCATCATAGGTCACACTCCCTCCTGGTCCCACTCTTTCTCTCTGCTCAAAAGCTTCCACTGCCTCCCAGATTCCCAGACTGGCCAAGAAAGAGAACACCAGGCTATCTTCTTCCTCATTTTGGTAACTCAACTTATGTGAGCGGCAGTGCAACCTAGAGAAATCCTGGCTCTATAACTTTGGTAAGTTGCTTAATCTTTTCTGGGTCTCATTTCTCTGTAAAAAGTGATAATAATGAAAATAATATCTTCCTTGTAAGGTTATTGTGAGGATTAAATAAAATTAAAATAGGAAAATCTCAGAAGTTGGTACCATATAGTAAGTAGTTTTATACTTCTCTACTTGCCTTCTTTAATTTTCATATCTCTACAATGAAGGGCAGAGATTTGATGATCTCTCAAGGTACTTATAGCTCATATAAGTGTCTGATTCATATGTGGATAAATCTCATTTTAAGGTTGTTAAAATACTTGGTAGGACTCTGTTGCTAACACTCCTCTGAGATAGGCCATTCCCTCGGTCCCCATTGGCCTCAGGCCTTTCCAATAATTAGACCATTCGAAGGCAAGAAACAGGTATTTTTGTTGTTGCATCCTATGGCTGAGGGCAGAGCCTACAGACTTGTAAGAGCTCCTACACAGAATCTTCGTGGTTTTTTGTTTGTTTGTTTGTTTGTTTTTAAGCTGAGCCATCCTGCCACCTGTTGGCAGCTCAGTGGCTGCTCAGCTTGGGCCGGGCATCGAACTGCTGTTGCTCAGAGTTCAAACTCTTGAGCAAGCTCTTAACCAACTGAACCACTCAGCCGGCCCTCTTTGTGTGATTTTGTTGTGAGGCCAAAGGTCCACTGTGCAGCAAAGAAGGCCCAGCCCACGATAATAATGTTCTCTTGTGAGAGCCTGCCCTTCCCAAGTCCCAGTGGAAGCTCCTCCTCCATCCTCTCAGCTGGTACCTACTCCATCTTGTTTACCAGTGGTCCCTCCTGGGAAACTGGGAGAGACAGGACCTGGGTCCTACCCTTTTATTAGGGGGATTGCAGTGCGGGGGCACCTAACTCACCACCCACGGCTTGTCACAGAAGTTGTAAATGGATTCCAGTGAGTTGATACTGGGGAGGCCTGCGTACTGCATGCCGATGATCAGGTGACGGAAGTCCTCATTCTCCGCCATGCCAAACGCATGCTGCCGGATGAGCACAAAGTCTGGCCGGAAGGACCTGGGAAGAATGTAGAGACAACTGAACCAGCCCCTCAGGTCATACATCACTTTGTCTCCCAGAACTAGAAATGAGGTATTATCACACATCTTAAAGAATATTTGAGGAACAGATTTCTGAAATTCCTTTATTCGCTTAGGTTAAGCACTGCCTTTTTCTAAGGTACAAATGCCCTCAGGAGGAAAGGAACACTTAGACTCTCACACCACATGTGAATAAGAATTTTCCCTGTCACTACGGGGCACTATGAGAGCTGAAGCTCCTTGTGGCTCCAGAGGTGCTGCTCTGAGGGGGGTCTCAGCAGACTATGAAGACAACATACTTGGCTGACTTGACCACCCTGCCATGGAGATCTCTGGTCTCAGGGTCCTGTTTTGACTCCTGAAAGCTGCTCCTTAAAATAGGCGATGCCCTCATCAGGCCCCGAGGACAGCAATGGTCCAGGCTGGCTGAGATTAGATGCTAGGCTTCCCAATGTTATTCTTCCAAAGCGAACACTAGGGAGAGGTACAAATATTTTTTTGCAGAATTGAGGTTGAGCAACAGCTACAGGAAGCAATGAGAGTACAGAATGTTCCTACGCATGGGAAGGCTCCCTGAGTTTCACCTCTAGCCAGCAGAGCTCCTAGCCACAGCTGCTCACAGGACCAAGGCTCCTGCTTTCATGCTCTTACTCCTGAGCAACCCCATCTTCCCAGAAATTCAATTCTGTGGCAGCATCTATTCTCAAGGTTCCAGGACATGGCAGTTTCACACCATGTGCAATGACCTACCTGGTTCTCAGCCCAGGTACCCACCCAACCCCCACCTACAGCTCTAGCCCCACCCAGGCTCAAAGAGCAGTCTTTTAAAGTAGGAAGGGAAGGAGTCCTCTTCAGTCACTCAGGGGACTTGACATCAAGTCAGAATGGCATGTGCTGGAGCTGCTCTGACGTCCTTATGCTCTAGTTCTCGGAAACTGGCTCCAGCTATGTGCCTGAGATCAAACCTTACATCCCAGTTATAGGAACTGAACTCTAGACTTGCAGCCAGCTCTTGCGTTCCTACACTGGTACCTGGAAGGGCCCGCTTTATTCTTGCCAGATCCCTCCCAGCACCTTGTCACCACCTGCTTGTGCGGATGCATCCTATGACGAGCTCTACCTGCAGTTGGAAGAACCCATCACTTCTCTGTAGGATCTCCCTGAGCTCATTCCCTACCTGGACGGACACCTCCTTTTCTGTCCTCCTCCTTAGTCTCCGGGATAGACAAGCTCACATTTCTTGTTGTTAGGTTCCAGACACCTGAGTTTTGCCTTTCCTGTCACTGGCCCAGTTCCTATTGGACACTGGAGGGCTCAGTGTCAGGGCACTGCAGGTTGAGGGAGGGAAGAGAATGAAGTGAAACTCTTCCTGCAGCAAGGCTCTGATATCTCAAGACCCAAAGCCACACTGGGCCCCTGGGAAGAATAAGATAACACTGTGGAAGCTGTTTTCCTCCGTATGGAATTCTCATCACCTCCCTCACAGAACTGTTGTATTACGTTTGATCATGTCTATAAGTCACCCAGAACACTACCTGGCATGTAAGTGCTTTGTAATTACAAATTTTCTTCCACCACTTCTGAGTCTAGGCTTTCCTGTCAGACATGAATTCCCAGGAATGAGGAATATAGAAAGAACACAGGACTGAGAGTTAACAGAATTCACACAAAATACAGGGCTCTGCTACCAACTCATGAGTGAACATAAGCAAATCAATGTAAACATAGGAGGTTGAACTAGGTTAGAGGTTTTCAAACTTAAAAAAAAAATTTTTTTAAAGCAATGGAATCCTGTTTTCCAGGGATAAAAGCACTGAGCTGCAGTGGATGAAGTGGGGCTGGAGTCCTAGAATCCCTCTGACAGGAATCCCGTTACCTCTAAGTAAGCTGAGTTCATGAAGCTTTCACTACCATGGGACTAAGAGCTCCCTGAGGCAGGAGCTGGTTTTCTCTGCCTTCCTACACCACTTCCACACAGGACACAGTTTTGAGTTCTATACACTGTATACAGCACTTAATCCACTCCAACACTTGATTTTGAAACCACCTCTGAAAGTCAGAGATGGTAACTCTGGGGACAGTGACGTAGCTCTGAGGACAGAAAGGACCTTACCGGACAACTTTCGTGCCATTCCGGAGCACCTGCATATCCACAGCATAGGTCCCATCTGCATGGGCCACCAGGTTGAGTTCTGAAAATTCTGCCTGGAAAGTAACAGTAGGGATTAGGAGGGTAGATTTTATGTTATGTGTTTCTATTATAAAAAAAATAAATAAAAATAACAGTAGGGGAATAAATCCACAGTCATGACTTTGCCAAGTCCTCCACATAGCAGCAGCAGCAGCAACAACTTCCCCACCATGAAATATTTTATTTAGTTTTCAAAGCTCACAAACTGATCTCATCTAACTGTCATAGCAACTGTATGAGGCGGGAAGGACAGGAATAATTATCCCTGTTTACCAAAGGAGCAATTAAGTGACATTTCTGGACAAAAAACAAAAAACAAAAAAAACAAACTTATTGTTGGTAATGACAGGAGCAAAACTCAGGTCTTCGGACTCCTGGCCCAGCATCCTTTGTGCTGCCTCTCTGAAAGCAAGAACGTGAACCAGGGCAAACATAACTTCTATCAGTTTCAACATAAAAGCACTAGGTTTTAGTTTAGGCAACTGGGCTTTAGCTCTGCTCTGTCTCCAACTAGTTGCATAAGACGTTAGGCAAGTTACTTGTCCTCTCTGGGAGGATGGTTTCTCTCATGTATAAAATGGGAAAAAATTTTATCAGCCTTGCCTATCTAACAATTTACAAGTATTTTAAGAACTGGATGCAATAATGGATAGTACAGTCTTCTAAATCACAGCACACTGTGGAAGGGATGATGAGTAACTGCTCTTATTACATAGAAAATACATGTATTGTTTAAGCTGGACATCCCATTTCTACCCAAATGGACCTAATTTCTATTTATCCTGAAGCAAAGAATAGAGGAAGACAAAAATGAGCCTTTCAGGACTTCAGTGCATTAAAACAAGAAGGTGTTCTTTTCTAAGCTGTCTCTGAAGTGTAGCCTCAGGCTCAGAGTAGGCACCACACACCTGAAGGAGACATGTACCAACTCAGCAACACCATGCCACCAATACCATGGAGATGTGGCCAGTGTCCTGGGAAGATATTCCTCTAAGGTTTTCCTCAGCCTGAGAACCCTACAGTGCAAGAGGGCCCTAAGAGCCCCTCTGCAGACACTAGAACCATGAAAAGAAGTCAGGAAAATGGAAAGATGCAGCCTTCAGGACCATGTCCCATAAAGAGAGAAGCCCTGGGGAAAGGGTGGGTTTGCTTCTGTGGAGAGCCTGGAACCCAGGGACAGACACTGTACTCCACTCCGCAGAACTAGGTGGCTCACTCTGGAATGCCAAGGGCGACTGGTGATGACGCAGATGCAGCTCTGGGCTTCAGGCTGATTACCTGTTCCACTTTGATATCATAATCTCCAAGGACTTTTTTGCCCCGAAAGCACTTGGCCCTGGAAAAAGAAAAAAGAAAAAAAACACAAATTAGTTTTGTACAAGTGTTTGAAGTCAGAAATTCACTATCACAAAGATGAGCCTACAGCAGACAGAACCCAGAATAACAGTCAAGAGACCTGGGTTAGAGTTCGAGCCTAACTCTGCTGTTGGATCACCACGATTGACAGCCTCAAGCAAACCACTTTCTCTCCTTTACACTCCACCTATCATCTATAAAACAAATCAAAGAACCTTTTCACTCTCAGGTTTTATAATTTTATGATAACATCCCTGATCTTTTGGCTACCAAAGAAGTCCAGAAGTAGGACTTTCCCTAATGTTATTCCTGGTAAAGACTAGGTCAATCTTTTATAGTTTCCTTATCTTCTCCCATCTCACATTTCACTCTGATTTTCTAGTCAATTTCCACCTTTGGAATTTTACTTTTAAAGAAACTGTTATCATTTTGCCTCTTCATACCCATACTTCCAAAAAGGATTTGATGCCATTAATAATTTAAAATGCAAACATACCCAAAAAACAAGGATAAAAGGACAATTAAAGAATGAGAATGAGTTAATTATACCAGGGGGAAAAAAAGTAGGATGCTGAAGAAAGCTACTATAATTGAACACAAAGCCTATCCTGTTTTTCTGAGCAGTCAAGAAAATGAGTCAAGCTGCTTTACAGTACTTATCTTCCCATTTTGTCATGGGTCTAGAAGAACCTTACATTAATGCATTAATGGCTTGACAACCTCTTGTAAGCAGACTATGTTTATGCTTAAATTTATATATATTCCTACTTTGCCCTTAACCTACCCTCCCCAGCATAAGATTTTATCTGCCCACTTAGGCTGGTTCTCCATTTGTAAAAAGGGCCTTTCCACACTGTACCTGTTAGCTAACTCGGGCTTGCTTTCCCAGTGCTTGAAATTTCAAATTAGCATGTTTCACTGGAGATTTTCTAGAAGTCCCTCTCCAAAATACAGTGATCAATTAACACATTGGGCATCATGTTATAGGAATTGTGTGCTAGCTGCTTTCAAGAACATCTCATTTAATCCTCCTAATAACTTAGGAGATAGGGAGAAAGGTCTTCATTTTTGAGATGAGGAAACCAAGAGTCAGGAGGAAAATGGCATATTCCAGGTCATACGGCAAGTTAGTGAGTCCAATGCCCTTGGCACTGCACAGCACTGTCTCCCTCTGTTGATTCATTCTCTCCATCTTCACGCCCACCATTACAAAAACTGACTTGTCATGTGTGCTGCGTTGCACGTTTTTTTCCCCATTTTCTTTCTTCCACTCAAAAGGGACTTGATGTTGTGAGTACTAGTTCCACTACAAATACTTCCTACTCTGGTTCCTGTGAACTACCCAGGATGAGGCCAGGCTATTTCCTTTCCTCTCTGGGTTCTGGAACAGTCTGTTCTAGGAAGTTGTCATTTGTCCTATCCAAGTCCCTGGCCACCCTTAAATTGCTCCTCAGAGGCACTCAGCCATCCTGGAGCTGGATCACTGAAGTCCATCCCCCACCTCTGCCCTAATTCCTTACTAAGCTTCATCAGTTTGCTTCCAGGACCCTGTTCAACATTCACAGCTCAGCGAGCCCCATGGGCAAGGGGCCTGTAGTATATCCCATCCCTTTAACTACCGTCCCATCTTATTTATGGGTTTAAATAATGGTCTACGCATGGCACTATCACTGCTCTGCAGATCTTGGATTCTGTAGGTCTTTGTCTATGACCATAAAAAGGAGGAACTAGAGTAAATGATACATGAGGTTCCTTTCTTGTGTTAGTAAGATGTGTGTCTACCTTGTTACCAGCAATGCTTTTTGGATGCTTCTTCCTATCTTCCTGTCTCTAAATAGCTCTCCTTCTGTAAGTCTCAGAGACATTAACAATAACTTCTTGTTCTGTATGATGCCTTGTATTTTCAAAGCACATTCCTTACTTATTTGTTCCTTACAACTCTCACGTAGCCAGGACAGATGGTGCTGTCTGTTTGACCAGTGGGGAAACTGAAACCCAGAGCAGTTAAATAATATGCCCAGATCACAGAAAAGTTCCTAAGAATTAAGCTTAAAACAAAGTTTATATCTAGGTGATGACATGCTGCCAAGGTTTTTAATTCACTCATTTATTTTGTGGGTTTTGAACACTAATATTGAAGTATATTTATAGATTCTGGCTGGGCTTATCTGCCACTTCCTGCATCTGCCCATTGACCAAGTTGGCTAATGATACTGTTTTCATGCCTACCCCCACCTCTGCAATTATCTTAATGCCTTTTCCTTAAGGTAATTTGTCCTGTTAGAAATCTTAGTCTGTGTTTCCTGGCTCCAGGTCACTGACCTCTCTTAGCTGAGCCATAATCTTATAGAAAAAGAGCCAAGATGGCAGGCAAATGGGGCATGGAGCCTTCTTCTGAAGAATGAACACATTCTCCCAGCTCCAGGCCCTTGGATATTTTGATTCCAGGTATTTTCATGAAAAATCTTGTAGCTTACAAGCAAATGACAGAAGTACTTCCTGATACTAACAGAGCACTGTTAGGAGGCAGTGTGCTAGAATCCAGAAGGGTTTTGGATTACAGGGCTCTGGAATTACAGTCCAGGTGGAAATTCTAGCGATACCCTTTCGTGGCTATGTGACCTCAGGCAAATGGCTTAAATTAAAAAAAGAAAGAAAAAAAGAAGTATGTCATATAGTTAAACCCATCAACCATCTTCAAAAGTACATAAAAGAATAAAATGAAGAATAAGTTTCTCCTTTCCCATTCCTCTCATCACATATGCTCCCCGTTATCAGTTGCAAGCATATCCTTCCAGTGTAGGAAAATGTGTACATATATTTGCATACATATATGCAAACAGGCATATGGCATCATGCTTACATAAACTCTTCTTTTTGAACTTTGATTTTTATTGCACTTAAAAATACATCTTAGGACAGCTGGATAGCTTAGTTGGTTAGAGCGTATGCTTTTAACAACAAGGTGCCTGTTTGTCTCCCTCATGGGATGGTGGGCTGCGCCCCCTGCAACTCGATTGAAAACGGCGACTGGACTTGGAGCTGAGCAGCACCCTCCACAACTAAGATTGAAGGACAACAACTTGACTTGGAGTTGATGGGTCCTGGAAGGGACACATTGTTCCCCAATAAAGTTTAAGAAAAAACAATACGTCTTAGTGATATGCTTTCAGCACGTATTTATGGACCTCTTTCTTAATACTTATAGTTCCATTTGAAGGCCATACAGTAACTTAACCAATATTTATTGGTGAGCATTTAGATTTTCAGTTTTTGGGTTGTTTTTGCTATTACAAAACAGTGCTACAATGATTTACATTTAAGAATATATCCATAGGATAAATAATTTATTTTTTTTAGCTTTACTGAGATATAATTTACAAATAAAATTGTATATTTTTAAAGTGTACACCATGATTTGACATACATATACTTTGTGAAATGGGATTATCATAATAAGGTTAATTAACACATCCATCACCTCACATAGTTGCCATTTGTGTGTGTGTGTGTGTGTGTGTGTTGAGAGTGCTTAAGATTTACTCAAATAAATTTCAAGTATACAATAGAGTATTATTAACTATAGTCACCATTTGTACATGAGAAGGACAAATAATTTATTGCAAAATTGCTATTGCAAAGAATAGATACAGTTATAGTTGCCACTGTTAGTGCCACACTGCCCCCACCCAAGAAAAATTATACCATTCCAGTGTTTAAAAGTTCTAGAAAGTAATTTCACCTCCCTTAGTCCCCCCCCCCCGCCACACACACACACAGTCCTTTGCATAAGCTAGGCACAAGAAAGATGCTCAGTAAGGTCTTTCTGACTGGCAGTCTTGTCAAATCAATCCAAATCCACCCCCTTGTGCTCAATCCTAAACAGAACCCAAGATGTACATCCTTGAAGCACAGACTAAAAATATCTATAGTGCCTGTGTTGTCAATTTCCCCCCATTGTAACATTTTCTTAACAAGCCTAGCAGCTGAGGATCTATGAGAGTTTAATGGCTTTCAGCTTCCTTGATGGACCATCTCCCCTTATTGCTGAAACGAGTAGAGGTTTCTAGATTTAACTCTTCTTCTTACTGAATACCCTCACCAATTCTCATCCACCAGCCAACTAGGGCTCATTAGGCTAAGGAACAAGATTTCAGAGACTTCTCTGCTAAAGCCACCTCCAAACTTGGCCCAACGTAGGCAAGCCCAGCTTCAATACCCCTCTTTTATGCATGGGCTAATGGAGAAAAGTCTATAAAGAAGAGGAGCCAGGAGAGCTGAGTTCAGGCTTAGTCCCACCACTTCTTAGCTCTGTGATTTTGGGCAAGTAACTGCCTCTCTGGGAGCCTCAGTTTTCTCATATATAAAACAGAATTAATAATAACAGCAAATGTTCACTATGTAACAACCACTATTTTAAGTGTTTTATGTATTTTACCTCATTTAATAGTACCCGACTCAGGTTGTTGTGAAGACTTAATGAGGCCAGATGAGAATAACTGACATTAAAGTGTTGGAAACTCTGAAATGCTATGCAAATATGAAGTACCATTAGCAAAATGTAACAAACATTTATGTACCACATATTATTGCTGTTTTACTATTACCACAGCCAACATGGCTTCTTCCTCCTCTTTTGAATTTTCATTCCATTTATTGTCTGTTCATATTTGGCTCATAACATCATCATCTGATACCACCTTTTAAACTCAGTTGTCTAATAATCTGTGACACCCCTCTCCTACCCCTAGCCTCAGACCACTATGTAATAATGCTTCAAAGCAAGGAGCATCCATATGCGAGCCCTGGATTTTCCAGAACATTTTGGATTTTAAATATTGATTACCGTATTTTGCCATGTATAATGCTCACTTTTTTGTCTAAATTTGTGAGAGCAGTACTAATTCTGTATCTATATAAATGTTTTTAATTCTTTTATTTATGCTTATGAGTTAAAACTGTAACTCTAGAAATCAATAA